CAGACTAAAACATACATTTTTACCTCTATATCTGCTGTTTCTTTGCTTGTACTTTTGGTGACTCTGTGGTGAACCAGCAGAAAAAGCAGGGAGTGTAAGGACAGAGCACAGCACTCCCTCCCCGAAGAGTGTGACAAAGAGTGCCTTGCCATTGCTAAGCTGACACACCCTCCCTCCCTGATGGGATTTATTTTCCGATAACTGCATAGCAGCCCCGTCTATAGTGCCCGCCATTCATATTCTTCAGTGCTGACATTTAATTTGGAATCTGTCGCTGGAAAACAAACAAATATGGCCCGGGTTTTAAAACACAACGAGCATGCCTGTCATTCCCAGCTAGCAGGTGCTGTTATCTGCTGTGCCACACGAGTCGTCAGGGCGTGAGAAGGAGAAAACGGTTGAGTTATTGTACAATACGGCTGGTCAGACAGTGAGACTGAGATTAGGTTGGAGAGTCAGAGTGTCAGGCCTTGGCTGTCCTGTTTGGATGCAAACATGTCTCTCTAAAGTGGGTCAAACTCTGAACTTCCTCTAACAGTCCACTGGTGCCCAGAGAGCTCTGACTGCATATTTCTTCTGAACATCTGTCTATTTTGTCTATCACTTGTCACACTCTTGAGCTACCCCTGCTTTACTAGCTTTGTACATTTATAAGAATGTTCACAATCAGTGAGAGCTTCTTGTGCTTCCCCCTATTTTAATGCCAGGATGAGTTGCCTTATTTACACAGTCAGCGCATGTGAGAAATATGTACAGCTGCAGGGTCAGGCCTGGGATGGCCAAAACATGGGTTTCTTCTCAAAGGGTTTATTTTTACTCCCCTCGCCTGATTTGTTGATGGAGCCCCCCCAGAGTGAGCAAAGTCCCAATGTGGTTCCCCATAGTTTCTGGAATGATATTCCATGCACATACACATACACTGCAGCACGAGCACACACAAACACACACACACACACAGAGCAGTGACACACCACAGCAAGAAGACTCTAACGCAGCCGTAACTACAATCCTGAATGATAACGCAAACATTACATTAGTCTCTAAAGTTTCCCTTGTCTCCCTCACTCTCGCTTCCACTCCTTAACTCCTCTCACCCACAGATATACTTCCCGAGGTGGAGGTGACTGGACCTTGAAACCACATGTGAGTAAACTTGAAAATAGAAACATCAGGAGAAATGTTTTTTTGTAAAACAGTTCATTCCACATTTTCATCACAGCAGTAATGTTCTATGTCTAGCGGATTATCAGCACTCTGTTCATAAGTGTTTTACTTGTGCCCCAACACACATAACCATTCATCATCCATCCATCTTCCAACTGTTTATATAGGGACACTTGTATTCTTAGCTATAAAGTTAGTATGTGAGGGCCCTTTACATACTATATGGTGTGTTTTAAACAGGACCAGACTGGGAGGCTTGTTGGGGTCCTACCTACAGCATAAATTACTATTCTAACAACCAGATAAAAGATTATACCCCCCCCCCACAACTCAGGGTAATAAAATAATTTGTGTATGAAATGATTTATTTCGTAAATAGCCATACTTTGTCCTTTACAAATTATATCAATGCTGAAAAGGAGGACAAATCAGTGTCTGCCCAGACCTTGCGCTGGATGTTGCACATCGAGCTGAAAACCCGGACTTGTCTGGCCAAATGCCGGACATGTGGACCCAGTCCGAGACTATCTGCATGGCTGTTAATATTACCAGACCGCTGACTGAATAATCAGTAATTTCAGAGCGTTTCTTTCCCCCTCTCTTTTGTTTTTGTTTTGTAATAATGCTGTGGCCACATGCTTGTTATACATAAGGGAAATTTAAGACTGAATGTAATATTTGGTGTAAAAAAGATTTCACTATATGACCTTCAAAACTGGCTGCATTTGCATTATAAAGACAGATAATACGGATTAAGTCATATAAAATGGTATTATTATGAAGTCTTTCCAGAAGCAAGTAACATGATCATTTTCAAACTGCATGGAGGGTTTCCAAAATTCAGATTATACTGTACAACAGGGTATCTCAATCATTATCCCCTGAGGGCTACAAATTCCAAAAATTTGGAATTTGGAGGTGGTGGTGGGATGGGGGTGGTCCCCTGGCGATAAAATTTGCCTGCTGGTGGAGAATCAATCATGCGGTCTGCATCCAACTGTGTTTCAGTCTGGATGTGGAAAAGGGAGGTGATGTGATGAATTGTGAAGAGAGAGGAGAGTCTGTAGGCACTGTGTTGCAAAAATGGGGGCAGAACTGCTGGACTAAAGTAGTAGATGTTTCGTTATGTTTCTTTCAAACTGGATTTTGAAAAGATCCATAGTCTTCCTGCTATTGTAGTGGAAGCTAAAACCATGGGTTCCTTTAAATCAGAGCTGGATAAGATTTTAACAACTCTGAGCTATTAGCTAAGTTCTCCCCAAACGAGCTTGATGGGCCGAATGGCCTCCTCTCGTTTGTAAATTTCTTATGTTCTTAAAGATTCCGGCTCAGGGAGCTGCAGATTTTCATTCGCTGCTACATATTTTGGGATTGCCCAAGGACACAGGCTCACTGGAGCTACATCATGCTTTTGAAGCTAATATTCCTCTTAAATGTGATGCATTGTGGGTACAGGAATATTACTTCTGGCTATAGGATGGAGCAGAGGAACAACATGTGCAAATGTCTCCTGGCTGAAAGTAAGAAGTTTATTTCTAGGCAACTCTTATTGTCCAAGACTCCTGAAGTGAGAGGCTGGACAGAAGTGGCTATCAGCAGCAATAAGGAACTCATTTTCTGTCCCAGAAGCTATGGACACAACCCAGAACAGGGGGGCAGCCCATCACAGAGCACACTCCATTCATTCACACATGCACAATTTAGCAACTCCAATTAGCCTCAGCATGTGGTGAGAAACTGAAGTAGCCCAGAGAAAGCCCCATGACAACATGGGGAGAACATGCAAACTCCACACACACATAACCTAGGCAGAGACTCAAACCCTGGTCCCAGAGGTGAGAGGCAACAGTGCTAACCAATGCACCACCATGCCCGCAAATATACAGCAGACAATAAAATAAGTAACTGAACTAACAGTTGAATAAAGTTCTATGATCTCTAAAAATTGGAGGTGTTTGCAGAATTTTAGCCACTAATGTAGCTTTATGTATCTTTCTTGGGTGAGGCTGGTGACTCAGGCGTACACAGACCATGTCGTTACTCAGTCTGTAACACTGAGAGGCCATCAGGCTTGCTGATGCTTAACTAATTAGCTAAAATGTTACCTCCTTTATCTTATCTCCAGAACTTAACTGAACAAAAGGTTGAGTGTTTCAGTGTATGTTTTATTCAGTACCATGCAAACACTTTTTTTTTAATGATATTTTGGATGTGGTAGAATTTGTTGCTTATTTAAGAACTTATTTAAGAACAAGTGTGAGAACACAGATTCAAGGTCTCAATGAGTTTTTAGTGAAAATCAGGGGTGTAGGAACTGGGGGGGACATGTATCCCCCAGTGTTTAATTTGGTTTCATTCACCAAATGTCAATAGACATTTTTATTCACATTATTAAGTTGTGTCCCCCCCAATTACAAATAGTCCTACACTGTTGGCAAAAGCAGTACACGCTGTCATCAAACAGTAAAGTCTTTCCACACATATTCTCCCACCTGAAAGTTTGCAAGTGCTACGTCAGAAACATGTGCTATGCCGTTTATTCCTCCCAGATGTACTCCACATTCTCGCCATGGCACTACATGCTTACGTTATGGCAGTAGTGCACGGCGGAGGCAACCTGGCGGAAGATCTTGCGTGCCTCAGTCTCCGGAAGATGGTTCCTCGTGTTGACGTAGTCGTACAGCTCGCCTCCCCTGGCAAACTCCATGACGATCACAATCTTGTCCTTGCTTTCAAACACTGTAACATAACATTATCACTTTTGGGGGTGGTTTTACAGGGATAAAACTACCAGATTTAACCTTGACTCTACTAGGAGTTTAGCACACTGAATTTAATATGCCCAGCCCATGGTTTAAACACAGACAGTAAGCAGAATAGAGTGAAGAGTCCCCCTAGAATATAACAGTGGTTTGTACCTAAAATCTGCTTATCAGTGACACAGGTAAAAGTCAAATCATAGAAGTACAGTTGCAGAAAACCTGTTTTTTTGGGAGAAACAGTAAATCAGCTGTATATGTAATAGTTGCAATATAGAAAATTGGGAGAAATCCAGAGAAATTGGGAATGTAGGCAGGGATGTCCATAAAGGCAGTAGATACTGGAGTATCTGAAGGACAGTGTCCAAATCTAGGAGGTGTAGCTGTGAAGATCCAGAATCTGTGTCAGTTTATGTCACATCCAGTATGGGGTTCTGATGCTAAGCGACTGGATGAGCTTGCCTACTAATAGAAAAAACAAAGAAAAGAACATTACATTAGCTTGTATACTGATTGTGCCAGCATGAATCTACGAGACTCTTCCCATAAAAAATGTTAGCCATCCAGTCTGTGGCTTATGACCATCAATCTGTATATGTGTAGCTGTGTTTGCATGTGACAATAGGAACAATGTCAAACGTGCTTGTGACGGTCATACAGAGCTCAGAGATTATGTGAGCTTTTCCTCACCCTCGTGTATGCGGATGATGTTTGGATGCCTGAGCAAGGAAATTATTTCAATCTCCCTCTGAATGTGCATCCTGTCCAGTTCATCAGTGATGCGTTCCTTCCGTATGGATTTGATTGCCACCTATGAAAATAAAAGGAGGGTTTTAGGTGGTTGTGAATTGCTAAAAACCTGGAAACACTGCCACAAAATTCTCAAAAAAGAGATATTTATGTCTGTGATGAGAACCTGGATTTATTCCCAATTACCGTAGTAACTAGGAGCTGAAACGCAAAAACACAATTGGGCATCTCTTTGCATGTCAGTATCATTCTACTCTATGATCAGTTTTTAGACACAGCTTGTCAAAGACAGCAAGACTAAAGACTTCAGACATTCTCTGTAAACAAAGACTTAACCAACTTTTGAACTCTACCCTACTCCATCATCTTGCCCTTCATTCTGGTATTGCAACCAATCCAGACATTGTTGTGTGTATATGAATTATTTCATCTTCAATCTTCATTTTATTTTCTCTAAAACTGCATATACACACAATACACATGGTCTCACCTCTACCCAGGTAACTACAAAACCACACTGTAGTACTCACATATTTTTGCTGGCTTTAAATTCTCAATTATGTCCAGAAGTATCATATGTTCTTAAGTAATATTTCAACTGAGACATTTTCACCCGCATTGTCCCCATGGATGCAAAGCCCAGTGCTGATAGCTTTATCAGAACAGGAAGTGGAAACACGTTCTATCAGGCCTCAGGGAGTAACATGAACCCCAGGGTCTAAGTGGCCGGTTGTAGTTAAAAATAGAAACAGCTGTAGTCACTGAAGTTATGGTATTGATTACCTACTAGGCAGGAAGTATGCTGACCCCCCTCCCCCCCACAAACAGGGTCCCAGGCTGGGAACTCATGGCCCTCCCAGGACCCTGCGACTGAAGCGTGTCTTCTCCCACGTGTGAGGAGTTGAAGCAGTGAAATCCCTAATGAAGTTCCCCAAAGAGAGTCAGTCATTTTATCAGAAACAAAGCTTGGCGTCATTATTTAATTGGAGAAATACCAGCTAGGCCAAAACTGAATAGTACAGCTTTTTTATTTGGATATTGAAGATTTAAAATGAGTTAATTTGGATATAAATGAACACTAATACTGCAGCATTGATTATTGTTGAGAATGGACCAAAGCTGTAAAATATTAAAGCTTAATGTGAGTGTTACACAGGAACATGGTGAACTCTTTGCACAGACAAGGCCTGCGGAGCTCAGTTATTTCAGTCATTTCTGGGCTAGAGTTTCTTTTGATTTCCCTGCTGATTGACCAGTAGTCCACATACTTCACATGCTCACACAGATGACAGGCCAAGTCGTCCGATGACCAGTATTAACTGATGTAAAAAAAATCTCATCCCTCAGGAGCTTCACGTAGCGATGGCAACAAGCAAAACTATCTGCCTCCAGTTCTATTCACCAGATGGACAGAGCAGTATTTGTGCAAAAGCCGACGTCAAACTCGTCAGTCACACTGCTTGGACCCAAGAACATCTTTCAGAAATCAAGCATTTTTCCCACACCACCCCCCCATCCAGATCCATCAAAACTCTAGGCTCTTCTTGCCCTATACATGCTGATGACAGTATTGCTTTTGTTCCACCAGAGGGCCTCGTGAGCATGACGTGCCACCATGTGTCTATCTTAAATAACGCTAGCAGAATGCAGCACGGCACAACATGCAGGCCTGGTTGTGGTTCTCGATACTAGTTTGGTGCTGATGGCCCTGCAACAGATTCAGTCGCAGCTGTGGCTGCCATCATCTATATTATGTAACTTATTTGGCATAAGGAAACAACCGATCCCACATCTGAAACAATGCACTGGTTTACTGTTGAGGGTGACACAATTCCCTGTCATGCAACAATTGGTCAGATGTTCCCCCAGAGAGCCACACACCCCCACAAGGGCAGCTTTTCCTCCAGCTGGACATCAGGCTGCTGCATGGGCATGTGCTTGCCCGGGCTATTTATAGCATGTGGTGCTATCAGGATACGTCCTCTAGACAGGGCTCACACAACCTCCAGCTCCAAGGCTGACGGCGCTCATCAGTTGGTGCACACTCAAAATAACACAGCAACCTGTTTTCCTGTCCAATGACTAGTGTTGCCGCGGGTGACGAGAAAGGGGGGCCAGGCAGGCTGTGTCATTTCTGCATGGCAAGAACTACTGTCCTGTGACCGTGCAATTAAGTCACTGACAAGTGTCAGGCGGAGGCAGGCATCACAGAAACCGCTAAGATGAACTTTATGGGAGTAGCTGTGCTTGCGTGAGGTGTATAACACTAAGCGAGCAAGGACAGTGCACACTATTCCCCTGTACTGTTCCAGTACACAGAGGACAGGAAGATAGAGAACAATACTGTTCTACTGACGAAAGAAATCTGAAAGTACAAAATGCCAAACAGATGGATAGGTTAAAGAAAAGCAATGCTTTTAATAAATGAAAAACTAAGCAAACATAGCTGGCATTATCGCTCTGCCAGGAATGTGTGGCTGTGAAGGGATATACTTTTAAGTGTTTCTATAAATCACTGAGAGGGAGACGCCAAGGAAACATTTCAGGATTCTGTCTGACTTGTGCCTTTAGCAAAGGAAGCATAATGCCTGAAGCTTTCATACTAGGTACTCGAGATAATAAGATTAACTGATTCACATACAAGTTCACAATGCAACTGCCCCGATTAAAAAAATAGTGTGACGCAGACACAATTTGGGGTGAACTAATGATGTGTCATCACTAACATCTTCACATTGGTAAAATGTTATTTATTAATATGTTATCATTAGTAGAGATCCCCTATGCCTTTAGTATTTAAAAATGTGACAAATAATTTTTTGAAATTGATGTCAATGTTTCTGTTTCTGTACCATAGTGAATTGTATAGCATCATATTCTTCATCGTACGGAGCTGAATCGGATTGTGTTTAATCAAAACATGTTGAATCGCAATAAGAGTGAATCATACCATGTTGCATTGATAGTTGCATAATATGTATCTTGAATGTATCGGATTGGTGGCAATGCATCGAGATGTTTATTGCATTTGCTTGAGTGATAGAAATGCATATTCCTGCTAAGTACATGATTAATTTATAAGCTAAGCTGAGCATGGAAGTGAAAAAAAACAACTTATCCATTCTAGCAATGCACTGAGTTATGCAGTACAGCACATAGCAAGATATGCCTTGATAAAACGTCAGAAATCCAAACAGGGTCTGGTGGCTTGTTACGATCACTCTAACACTGCCTGCCAGCTCACGTACACTAAGCCATGCTGAGGGCGCTGGACTATGTCCAGCAGACACCCTGTTTTATTCCGAGCAGGGCATTTGTACCATCGTGGCAGTTTATCGCTATGGAAAATTCCAGTATACACCAAATACTGGAATAAAGTATTGCTCTGATGTCTTGGTTGCCAGACCCTGTTGAACTGCAGCTGAAGAACTTCAACATCAAACTGGAGACAGAGCCTGATCTGCCCCCTACCCACTCAGGTTACAATTATAGCACCTTTCGCTTCCCAAAAATAATGTGTGTTTTGTCTGAAAGAATCTTAGGCATGTTCCAACTGCAGGGATTCAAGACTTCTTCCTGGAATCAACATTTAAAGAATAGCTGTGGGGGGACAAGCAGACTGAGCAGGGCGGATGGCATGCAGGACAATCGGGCTGGTTGCAGTGCCTTCCACCAGTAACAGTGTCACCATCAGAGAAATAAACATGTGATTTGATATTGTGAATTCGGGACATTTAACATCAGGTTTAGAGATATAACAACACGACTATTCACATTTTCATATCGTAAATGCTTCATCCTCAATACAGGTGCCTGCAAGGTAAGCATGACTACCACTGTCATGATTATTACCATCCTATGCAGGATATAGCACAATGTTGGGGGAACACCATGACCAGAATGTCAGCCCGCTGCTGGGCACACACACACACACACACACACTATGGGCTATTCAGGGGGATCAGAGAGCACCAACCCTGACAATGCAGGGCAGTGTGTGGCGTTGGGAGTGAGCACCTTTGAATCGAGTCACTAGTTCAAATTCTGTGTCTGGCAGTGATGTCAGTATTGGACCCTTGTGCAAGGCTCTTAACCCCAAATGCTTCAAAGTAAACTTTTACTTTAATATTTTAAGCTAAATATTTCGCAAAATTCCACCCAAACTGTACTTCGGTCCTTCACAAAATTTCTCGTAATTTAATGACGTAATTTACGTGTTTGTATTATATTTACATGTGCTTACAACAGTCCTTTAATTACCGGGGCTGTTAGCCTGTTTGCTGAGAAATACTTCAGAATTACAACTAAACAATACATTTATAACGAAACTGTCTTATCGCCCCTGTGCAGAGAGGCTCCGGTGACTAAGGCGAGAGGCATCCAAACGCTGGAAGCCCAACGGAAACGCGTGGATGGGATGGGATGAGATCATCGCCGCTAGCCAGCCATTCAAACGCGGGTACCACGGCCAGATAAACATCCTTAGGCAGTCCAGGGAAGTATGATAAACGCAGCAGCAATGTAGTGCTACACAATCATTTCCATTTTCTGCTACATGAAAAAAAAAAATCTTTGGAAGATTTCTAATAAGATTGCCCTTCTACACCTGCAACATATATAAGCCTATCAAGTGATCCTGACTGATATTTGCAGATTTAGTTCACACATCGTATGTCAGTTATCAGCCAGCCACAACACAAAACAAATCAGGGCGGAGAAGAAACATTTTTTCAGCCAAAATATTACAAAAAAAAAATAAAAAATAAAATATTGCAAATAAAATTCAATTTCACTATAGTATTAGCGTTTCAAAAACGATGTGTGTATTTTTGCGAAACAGCTGAAACTATTTTGGTATCTTTTAGATGTAACCATTGCAAAACGCAAATTAGAAACGTCAGACGATCATAATAGTCAATGCTGCGAAGGCAGATGAGCTCAATGCATCCAGGCAGTTTAAATTTGTTACTAAGAGAAATAAAGCTATTCGATGTGATTTTATTATCCTTAAGCTTGGTGCATAGTGCACTATATCGGACAACCTAATCATTAGGCCTATAATACGTTGAGACAAGTAGGCTGTATCATACAGCCTGTATGTGCATAACGAACATGAATGCCACTCACAGTCTTGCCGCTCCTCCTCTCGATCGCTTTCTTCACTTTGCCGTATGTTCCTTTGCCGAGGGTCTCCAGCAGTTCGTACCTGTGTTTCAGATTGTGTTTGTGCTGGTGTTTCTTCACCTCTTCTGGAGGTCTTGCAGGCTGACATGAGCCTTTTTTATCCATCTGTCGCGCCGTGTCGCCGCTGGCTGAGCTGGCGCAGTCCCCGGACAAGGCGATGCCTTGCAGGCTTCCGAGCTCGGTCCGATCGCCCATACTCATGCTGCTGTCACCTGCAGCTTCTCTCCTGCCCATTGTCAGGCCCCGGTGGCTTTACTGGCTGCACCTGTCACAGAAAAGCATTAGCTTGAATGCGCAACACAGAACAATAAAATGAAACATATAACAAGTACAACAAAACGAAATATTGCACTGGCCAGGCATGACATTACAATCTTGGATTTAAATTATTTATATAGCCTTCGCAATACAGACAATAACTATTACCTTTTACTGATAGTTAAACAAGACAATTTAAGGCGCCAGGCTGATGTCTGTATTCAGATCTACATTCTTTAGTCAGATCCTTCTCCCACGTCCTTCTAATGTCTCACGGAGCACCAACGACCTCTTTAAACACAACAATCCTCGGAAGGACCACATGGTCCCGGCGGCTGGGTGGAGCCCAGCTGTCATCGCAACACACTGCGGAGCCTCGGCAGCCTAGGCGAGGAAAAATCCTTTGAGGTTTCCGTCAGCACAGCAGGGAAGGCGAAAGGAATCTGCGGAACGCAAACAGCCTTTTGGGAACACGTACGGACTCACTTCCGCAAAGATTTCCCGAAGGAAACAAAACGTGTATCTTACAGTGGTTTAAAGATATTTCTATTAAAAAAAATACCAAAACAACGCCCAGATCTCTCTAAAACATTGTTCCTATTTATTATGTATTGATGCTGATTGTTTCTTTTGAAGGAAAAGTATCAATTAACAGATATCAAACACTCCCTATACGCAGGCACAATGTCAGTTTTAGTTAATTTCTTAAGGTCAGTTATACACACGTTAATCTGAGCGTATCTGTAACATCTTTGCCGAAACTGTTGGTAAAAATAGTTAATAGAAGAAAAGTCAAGTTAATACAATTCAAACGAACCCTGTTCTCTCCTCCTGTACATCCAGTTCTTTGCAGAAGACATGTCTTAGATCCAAATTTGTGAGTAAATATAACTGCAACGACTTTTCAAAACAAGTCAGTATTTCGAAGTCACCGTTCAGAACACAATCTGTAATAATAAAAAGTAAATATTTTCAAAGAATTCAAAATTTTCCTATGTTAAAAATTACAAAGGATTCATGTGATTAGCCTCCAATGAGCCATTCGAAAGAAATTCTCATAGTGGAATTCTAGGAATTTTCTAAGTAGGAAACAGCATTCTAAAAATCCCCAATAACTAGCAAATTCAATGAATTGCTACACATAAAGGATGGCTATGATATGAGTCCTTATGTTTTTTTTTCCCATGTCGTTGTCTTACAGTGCTTTCCTTATTTCTAAATTATCCTTAGCTGTATAATTTCACTTCGAAAAAAGAATTCCATATGCTACAAACATAGGGAAAAGTGGTTCAGTGAGCACAATGGCTTCAGGCATCTAGTGTCTCAGCCCCAGCTCTGTGTGGATGGATGCTGCATGGTTTCACCAAGCTGTTAAGCACATTGGTGACTCCATATTTCTCATAGTGTGGGCTCTGCCCCCATGGCTCCATCCTTGGTCCACTCCTCTTCTCTCTTTACATTACCTCTCTAGGTCTGATCATCCAGTCACATGGCTGCTCCTATGCCGCTCTACTATGCCAATGACATCCAGTTATACCTGACCTTCCCTCCTGATGACACCACAGTGTCTGCTCAGATCTCTGCATGCCTTGCTGACATCGCAGCCTGGATGAGGAACCATCACCTCCAGTTACATCTCTCCATTACCAATCCATTACTCGTCTTTCCTGCCAGCCAGATATCATGACATCACTGTTCAGCTTTATCATCAATACTGTCTCCATCAAGGTCTGCCAGAAACCTAAGGGTAATGTTAGATAACCAGCTCTCCTTTGCTGAGCACATACCAGCAATCTCCTGAACTTTTAGATTAACCATGTATAACTTCACAATGATCAGGCCTTATTTTTGTGTGCATGCAGCTGCACTTTTAGTTCAGGTACTTGTTAATTCATAACTAGACTAGTATAGCTCTCTATTAGCAGGTTTGCCAGCTTGTGCTGTCAGACCACCACAGATGATTCAAAATGCAGCAGCACCTCTGGTATTCAGTCAGCCTAAATGCATCAGCTTACACCTTTTCTTCACTGGCTCCATATTCTCAGGATCGGTCCATGTTCTGCCCCTTCTGTATGTCAGGTCCTGTTGTGATCCATGTCGGGCAAGCAAGCAGGAAGCGGGGAATCAGGGTGAAGTAGACTGTATTCCAGAATATTCGGGGCAAACAGGGAACCACACGGGACACACGTCAATGACCGATCTACCAAGACAGACTTAAATACAGGACATGACATCAGAATGAACACAGGACAACTGGTATGTTTGGAATTCACACAAGGGTAAGGAGATGGGCGTGGCACATGAGAGGGCTGGACGGAGGGGCGTGACAGGTCCCCATTAGGCCATCCTGTTAATTCCTTGTGTTTGTCCCTATTCCTCAGGCTGCCATGCGACTTAATGGGCTAAGTGAGTGCTGAGGTATCAAGACTCCCATTTTTGTCATGGGTTCGAGGCTGACCTGAGACTAGTAAGCAGGGCCATGTTAGCACGGTTACAGCTCGGGTAGAGCTGACATATTTTGCAGTGGAAAAGAGCTAAAAATCTCACTCTGGACGTTTCTCATGTGTGGTTCCCCACAATAAAAATGAGCTCCCAAACCTCAAATGGTCATCAGATTCCTTCTCCACCTTAAAGAAATACCTCAAGCCCCATCTGTTCCAGGAATTCCTTTACTTGCTTGATGCCTCTCTAGCTTCCCTGAGTGTTCCTTATGTTGCTCGTCATTGAATAGTCTTATTAGGTTCTTGCTTATTGGAAGACATTGCGTAGCTCTTGCTCCATCACTGTTTACACATCTGCCTGGGCATTCATTGGAAGCTGAATTTATGCCTTGTTGACTCATTGACAGCACATACTGTATATTTGTAATACTTGCCTCATTTGTAAGTCGCTATAGACAAAAGTTTCTGCCAAATAAACAAATCAATCTGATGTGCCCCCTGCTAAAGATAGGCTTCACACACATCCTCACAGTAAATAAACAATTATGGAAGATGCAGTGTATCAAAGATAAAAATGTATATTTTACTTTTTGGTTTTTCTTATTTGTAGTTCATACACATCATAAAGAACTCTAAGTTATAAAGTATATAAGTTGGAAGTCCACAGACAGTACAAAATCAACATCATACTACGTTTAAAGATTTCTATTAAACCTACTGCCAGTAATATTTGATTCCACAAGGTGTCAGATTTGCACCAATATTGTGACAAAAAGAAAATCACAGGATACTTTCAACAGATAAAAACCATCACTCTCTTCGTGCACACAAATATTTCATAACATATTTTGCTGTGTGGCTCAGGACATTTTCCTCCTTGTAGAACTCAGTTTCGCTATTATGTGATATCAACTTATGTATAGGTGACCAGAAATAAAAAATAACAGAGGATAAAATTTGTGACAGGGAAGGCCAGGTAGCTAAAAACCATGATAACATGATAGACCACCGTTTTCTGCTTTATTTTTAGCTCCACAGCTCCATGAGCTCACTGTCAATAGATTCAATAATCTCAATCTGATCTGTCAAAGATGTACTGTGAGGCTGCTGCTTCCTTGATGGGTCACCAGAGGGCGACACTGGCTCAGTGTTTTCAGGTTTGCTTTTATTGCTTATGCCTGAGATAATTGGGACATAAAGGATGATGGTGATAAAGTCCAATGTGGTTGTTTGGTCCTTCTGGACAGTGTGAAGAGATCCCAATATCACACCTTTAATCCTTATCTGAGACAAAATGTCTATTTTCTCTATCACTTCTGTAATGAATATGAAATATTTTTTTTCATTATCCGGTATCCATCATTCCATATTCCCATACTCTCTTATATGCAAGCACAAAGACTGAGCTAATAAATAAATTAGCAGAATCAAAGGGCTGCTTGAAAGGCCTGTGTTCTGGTTAGCTAGACAGCTTTAGGCTTACAGCAGACACAAGACCTCACCCCCATCATTGCCTCCACTACAATGCAAGTCTAAAATGCGACACCATCTACCTTCCTCCAGCTTTACCACTTAATAATAAAACTATTCCTTCTCACAAGCTGGGGTACACCTTCTTGTTGACGCCTTGTCGAGGGACCCAATGGAGAATGCTTAACCAGTCAATTTGGAAGCAGACATGGCAGCATATGTAGACTCTGTAGAGCAGTGCTTTGCACCCAGTCTTCGAGGACCCCCAGAAAGTCCACATTTTTGCTCTCCCTCAGCTCATCAGGAGTTGGGATGGAGCAAAAATGTGGAGTGTCGGGCAAGGAGCTGGGAGAGAGTAACAATGTGGACTGTCTGAGGGTCCCCGAGAACCAGATTGCTGTAGAGAATAGAGGACAAATGACAGTACTGAACAGATTAGAAAAGAAACCAAAGCAGGCAAAGTCCTACAGAGTGTCCTCAGGTATTTTCAGAAAGGCTGTCCAAAATGGACTAGACATATGGCAATGCAAACACAGACATACTTGCCTGAGTATGGTTGCCTGAGTGAAGTAAATGGGCTGCTGCTGTGTGGAAATCAGACTGATTTCTTAGAGCATGAGAAATAGCATAGTTCTGAAAATCTATAAGGGTCACCAGGGCTTTACCAAATTCAAAGAATGTTATCGTGTCATCATTGCAATGCTCATAGATCAACCCAGAGCCCAAAGTGGTCATGAAAGACAACAGACCTCAGTTTTCAGAAGAGCAATTCAAGCTCTTTGCTACAGAATATGATTATCAACACTTCACTTCCATTCCCCATTACCCCCAATTCAATGGGACGGATGAATGAGCTGTGAGAACAGCTAGACCACCTAGCTCTTTACTCCTACCATTCAACCCCTTCGGAGCCCACATGGGAAAACCCAGCTATACTGTGGATGGGTTGACACTAGCGTACAACACTTCCAGCTCTTAAAGAATGCTTAGAACTAAAGCAACCTGACCTCTGTACAGTCAAATGTAATGACCCAAAAAACAGCAAGGTCCTAAGAAAAGTCCTACAATGGTCAAACCCCTTCCCCAACTTGCCATTGGTAACCAAGTCCAACTCAAATTTGAAAGCGACAAAACATGTAAAACAATTGTGACAGTGATGTACCAGGAGATGGCGCCATGCTCCTTCACATTGCAGCTTAAGCAACATGATACACCCAAGATAATCCACAGAAACATTCAGAATGAGAACCAGGGGCTTCCTCCAACACCAAAGCTGAACATGTCTCGTTCTGATTCTGATGGGGAGCAGCAGGAGTCCAGATCAGAACCACCCAGAGCAAACAGTGGCTTTGTGGTACCAGCCTTGCATGGACCTCAGCTTGGTGCTAAGGTGATACCTAGATCGGAAAGACCAAGCTCCCATAAAGCTAGTGAGTCCAGATGAAGTCCAAAGGACAGAATAAGCCCTGCCTCATTTCCAGAAACTGTGGTAGTTAACCTTCACACCTAGTTAGTTAGGTTCAGCTAAAGAGAAAACAAATATACATTATAAGAAAAAGAGAGGGGACAGATTTTTCACGTTAATAGGTCATTCGCATGTCATTGTATGAGTGTGTAAATGTTGGGAAATTTATCTTAGAATGGATAGATGTCACATGAGGAATAAATATCACATGAATGGGTAGTGATCAAGAAAGATCTGTTCCATTAGCTGGCAGTTATATTAGTCAGTCTTGATATTACTCTGCAAGTGATGGTCATGTTATGTTGATATAAACAAAAGACAGCACTCATTAGTTGAGAGACATGTAGTGGAGTTTGTCACAGCATCCACATCACAAACCGAATTCCTTTCTGTGAGAGATTGCACAGTGATCACAGTTACTCCAGCCAGGATCCCAAAACAAACCAGCCAAAAGAG